ACCAGTAAGCTTTTCATGACCTCTCTTCTTTTTCTGTAGTGGCTCTCTAATTAGGTGAAGTCTTTAAAAAAAATTTTTTTTCTGTAAGTCACTGATTATCATTACAATTAATTTATAATAAGCAAAAGAAATTTAATAAAAAGTTCATAATTGTATTACTTGCTATAAAGGCAGCTAATGATATAACATTTCCTCTGCCCACTTTTTTTACGCAGGTGTGCATCATGTGCCAATGAACATTTTCTTTGTCCTTGGGATATTCTAAGTTTACGACTTCCATACCTTGCTGTTGTCATTTAATATTGTCTGTGATGCTTTTCTTTCAAAGTCTGAAAGTTAATAGCTCTATGAAGTTCCACAAATGAACAAGTGGTTTGTAATATTTTCCTCTGATGAGGAAATGAAGAAATGTGTACATCTCTGGGTAGATTCCTAGAAGGGGCATTCTTAGGCCAAAGCATAGATACTTTCTTTAGGTGCTCATTATGCATTGCTAAACCATTTTCTACAAGGCTTATCTATATCATGAGCATGCTGACCAATTCATGTTACTCATTTTGGGAAGATAAACCAGATATCCTGGATTTCTGAGTACTTATCATATGCCAGTGACCGTGCTAAGACTTTTACATATGTTAACTCATCAATTTAATTTTTGTTAGTGCTGACGTTGACTCAGTGACACAGTCTTCATCCCCCATTTCACATTAGGAAACTAAGACACAGGAAGATGGGGTATAACAAAGACTGCCTTGGAACTGTGGTCATCAGTGTCCTGGAGGATTTATGCCTGAGATAAATGGGTGGCCCATGCACCTTTGTTCTGCTCATAGTTCCCAGCCCCTGCCCAGTCCCACCACATCCCAAATTCTTTGCATTCTTTTGTGATTGTAATTTCTCAGGCTATGACCAAAGAGTAGTTCCTGTGGAGCTGGCATTTAGCCTTTCCCCTCCAGCATCCTGGATCTCTCTGGCAGTTAGTCAACCAAGAGCCCCTGTGCATTCCTGTGTTTTCCATACGTGCCTGTCCTTTAACAATTACCATGGGCCTTAGAAGTACCTGGTAAAGACCCAGAGCCATCCCTCATGCCCCACGTTCTCAGGAGTCAGAGTATTGAATGCTGCCTAAGGATGTAAGCTTTGGAATTAGAAAGAGGTTCAAGCCTTCCTGTGCCAAATCCTAGCTGTGTGATTTAAAGCAAGTGATTGACCCACCCTGTTCCTCAGTTTCTTCTGCTGTAAAATGAGGATACTAATTCTCCGCCCCTTAGGACTGTCCTACTGAGCTGTGCATGTGAAGCACTTAGCACGGTGGCTGGATTATGACAAGGAATATTAACTATTGTATTGTTACCTTGCAGACTGACACACTTCAATTGATTTGGTAGATGATAGTAGCAAAAGGAAGGTATTTTTAAACTGAGGCGTGACCTTAGTGCTGACTAAGGTGTGAAAGGCTCACCACTCATGTGAGAGGCTGATCTTTCCTGCAGCACACGGTTTTCAAGTGGCTGGAACCTAGGAAGCCAAAAAGGTCACTTTTTCTCTCCTGTTCGTATGTGGCAGTATTAACTCCTTAGTGCCTTGTTTGGCACTTGGCTCTGTCCCTATATATCATTAGCCACTTAGTCGAACTGATAGAAATGAAACTTGTTTGAACCAAACTGCAAGGTAGAAGCTTGATTCATTACTCCCGCCACTGAGTTACCATTTTCACTGTTCTAAGATGACACTTACTACCAAAGAAACTGTTGGCCTTTGCCTTTTCTCAGTCTTAGATTATAATGTGTGTGTGGAATTTCTTACCAGAGAAAAACATCTGATATCTGTTTGCATGCTATAGGTGTAAACTTCTGGAAAAAAATTAAAAAAAATTTTTAAAAGGGTTGCCTGGCCAAATGTTAAAATTGCAGAAATGACATTATTTGCAGAGTCTTTTTTTTTTTTTTCTTTTTTCCCTTTTCTTCAATCAGGTTTCTGATCTTAGTACGGTGCGAGAAGTCTTGTGCTCTTGAGTAATTTATATCATGATGATTAGGAAGGCTTTTGTCTGCAGATTTTAATTTTTCCTAAATTAAACCACTGGCTCAGAAAACAGAATTTTTCTCGAACCTAAGTTTTTACACTAGGGATTTGCATAACTTTTTATAATGTTGTCCATTTTCTTTTTCCCTTTTTACCTAAAAGTATCAGTCTTTATTCTTTCAGAAAAGGAATAAATCTCAACTTGTTAAAAAAAAAAAAAAAAAAAAAAAGGCAAGTCCCACATGCTCTATGGTTTTTTTTCCCTTGCAGCTTAAACTTTTTTGTGTGTGTGGAGAGAAGGTGAGGTGAATATGTGCCAAAAGCCTTATAATTAAGAAGGAAAAAAAAATAAAAGTTTGTAGGGTAGAATGTATGTGTGTGTGTTTTTCCATAATTAGCACATTTCATGATATTCTCTTATGGGGGAAAAATGTACCATTTGATGCATCAGTTGCTATGGTAACCGCTAGGGTTTTTCTGTGGAAGGAGAGACAAAATGGTAATGTGAGATCCCTTTGTAACTTCAGTTGGCATCCAGGCTGCATAAATGTGAAGTTCCTGTTCCTGGAGTCCACGTGTTCCCAGACGGCATGTGTTCCTTTCTTTACCTCCCGCTCGCTTGATTGCAAACTGACCATTGCCCTCAAGCTAAAGAGTGGAAAATCTGAGTTGCTCCTGCCTGAACTGGAATTGACTGTAAAGTCTATAGTTGACACTTCCTTTAAGACGTGTGTTTGTTGGTTGGTCGGTCATGGTCACCCTGCCTTTGACTTTGACAAGATACATCCAGATGCTTGCCAGGATGGTGACATTGGCTGTCTTTAGTGGTTGCAGCTCATAGGTCTCAGCCCAGCCATCTACCTCTCAGACAATGTTCCTGTGATGCCCAGAGGGATCCAGTTAGAGAATTAGATGGTTTACTGCCAACCATTTCCTATCATGGGAATTCAAAGACTGTATGTTACTGAAAGAAAATCAAACTGTACACCATTACGGTGAAAAAAAGGAAATCAAATTTAATCTCCAGTTACATTCAGCATGGAGGTAAACTTTTCTTTGCCCCTTTTCTTTCTGGGTTGGCTTCCATGAATGATCCTTTGAAATTTCTATTTCTCTCCTTTTATGAAGTCAGCCTTTCAAATCCCCGTGCTCTCAGCGACTGCGTTGGAGAGCATCTGTGTGTTTGTATTGGTGCTGGAGACGTAAACACCAGCAAAGCTATATCTTTATACCAAAGTGTGGTTTTCTGAGCCATTAAAGAATATTGTACCAAATGCAATCTATTTTAAAAGTACGTGAAAACCTCATAAATAGCTTCCCTATTGGAAGCCCTTTCAGAATTTTGTATTTACAGGCAGCCAAGGTGGGTGACAAGTCTCACGAGCTAATAGATGCACCCTCCTTTGCTGAACTACAGTGAGAGACCTATTTGTGGGTAGAAAGGAGAGAAGAAAATAGAGATTTTCCCATTTCCTGAACTCCTATTTATCCCATCCCAACTTGTCCCTGGAGTCTTTGACCAGCAGCCTGAATTAAGAAAGAAGAAAAACTTGGCAGTGTAGCCCTGGGACCTTAACGTGATTTTGACACTGAACTAAGGAGTTTTCTACCTTTCTCCTTTGTTCACTGGTCCCACGTGCCTCTGGCACCCCAGCCTCTCTGCCCCTCTCAGGGCCCTTCCTGCTCTCCCATCTGCTTCCTCCCATCTTATTTTTCAGACACCCCACTTGAAGTCTCCAGACCTATTCTTGGAGCTTATTCACAAATCACTTTAAATTCTACTGACTCGTGTTCCCATTGCACGGCTCTTCAGAAGAACTCTTGAGCCTCTATTTTAGACACCCGCTATATCTCAGCACCCTTCTGTCTGCTAGATGTCTCACTCACCTCTCCTGGTGAGGTGTCAGAGGAACTCCCATGTCTTACTACTTTGTCCCTGGGGAAGAGTCTGGGGGAGAACCATACAGCCTCTGACTTTCAGAAACTTCCAGACCAGGAGGCAGCCTGGGAATCATTTAACAGGACTGAACGTAGAATAGAGCTGAGAATGAATCCTGCTGCTCTGTGCTGTTTCGGGCTGCTTTGCTAATGTCCCCTAGTGTTAGGGAACAAATCATGGGTTTGTTTATTTATTTATTTATTTATTTGGTTGGAGTTGTGGGAGAGAGTTGTTCTGTCTTCTGTCCAAGGTTCCTTTGATAGTTATATTTTTTAAAACACAGTATTATGGAAATGTTCAAATATATATGAGAAGAACCAGAAGAGTTGGGAGAACCCGAGAATGCACATGCCTAACTTGGCTTCAACGACTATCAACTCGTGGTCGCTCTCATCTCATCTGTATCCGTACCTCTTGGCCTCCCTTATTATTTCAAAGCAAATGTCAAACTCATTTCATTCATGGTGCTTATTTTTTGATTGGCATGTCTGATATCTGCCCCTACATTATTTCCTATAGCATTATTTTTTCTTCACCACTCGACCCATTGACTATTTCTATAAGAAAGGCTTACTTTCAGCTCATTAAATCATGCAGTATTACTTTTATATCTTATTATTTTCTTACAATACTGGGAATAAACCCTATGTCTGGGGTAACATTTTCATATTGCTGTGTGAAAGGTGACCTGTAAAATTCTCATTTTGTCTGCGTTTTATTGGCTTACCCCAAAGGGACTTTTTTGTTTTTGTTATTGTTAGTTGCCCTTCAAAATTAATGTTCTGTGTTTATCACTGAGAGAGAGAAACTTCAGATATTTAATATTCTAGATTGCTGCTTTTTTTTAATGATGTGCTTTCCTGAGAAAATATTGAAGAAGTTAACTTCAGAGTTTCCAAGTGCTTTTATTAATAATTTATTTTTTCAGAGTGAAACTGAGCCAATTATAACTGAGTACCCCCATGTTTTTTGAGTATTAGTAGCTCAGTTATGCATTAAATTCAGAACCTGATTTCATTATCCTGTTTAAATTAAGGGTGAGGCGCTCAGGCAAATTTTGGTCAACCGTTACTATGGAAACATCAGACCTTCAGGAAGAAGAGAAAGCCTCACCAGCTTTGGCAATGGCCCGCTGTCACCAGGAGGACCCAGCAAGCCTGGGGGAGGAGGTAGGCTGTGTGGTGTGCTAATTAGCTGCACGTGTGAATTGAGTGTGCCACATGAGAGCTGTATGTTTCTCCTTAACAGGTTGAAACTAACAGATGAATTTGGGTGGCAAGTGTGTTTTCTAGCAACTTGTTTTGTCTTTGGTCTACCATCAAAGTGATATCTAAAAATATTTCCCTGCAGTTAGATGTTGGCTAAGTCTTTTGCCCCCCTTTCTAGTACAGCAACCCTCTGGATGATTTTTGAACGACTCAAGGATTTTACTGCCCATTTTCTTGTGCTCATGAGGATTCATTCTTCCCATTAAATAACAATGGTGTTAGCAGTAAGGATGGTGAAAGCTTCTCACTTTTTTTTTTTTATAATAATAAAAGGCGTGTAATAATGATTATACACCTACCGAGTGCCAAGGGCTCTCCCAAGCATTTGCCCTTCTTGTTTGCTCCTCCAGGTACCCCATTTTATAGCAGGCACTCTTGTTAGCCCTTTTTAAGAGAAAGAAAATGGAAGATTGTTAGTGACTTCTATAATTTGAACCTAAGTATATCTAATTCTAATGCCTATGCTGTGTCCCTCCCAAAATCTTAAGGGAGTTTACCTTAAAAAAAAAAAAAAAAAAGGAAAGAAAGAAAGAAAAGTCCCTATAAAATTGCTTTAAAAAAATCCTCAAAGAGGTTGCAAAACATTGTAAACACAGTTACAGGCAAAAGTTGGAAGAACGCTGAACTCAACTGTGGGTGTTGGTTTTGGTTTTAAGCCGGTGCGGGGTGGGGGCAGGAGTGCAGTGCTCACTGGAAGCACAGATGTGAGTTGACTGATTCCTTGTCTATAATGATGACTGTTACGCACTGTAGGTTTTGGGGACATGCTGTAGGTAGAACCAGAATACTCTGTGATTAATGCAGTTATCCTAGCCGTTTCTGGGAAGGGATTTTGAGTTTTTCACCAAACGAAAACTTGGAGCACACCTCACTTCATGGGACTGTACAGCTTTGGTGAAGATAGGTCTCAGAGTACCCCAGGAACAGGACCTTAGCATTTCATCTGCAATTTGAATTCTCAAGGGATTTCTCAAGAAGTTCCTCGCATAATATCTCAAAACTATTTCTCTTTACCTTCTGTAGTGGGGTCATTCCACAAAATATGTGAAGCCCTGGGTAGGCCTTATGAGAGTGTTTTAGAAATGCATCAGAGACTGTTTCTGCTTTAAAAAGCTATAAGAGAGAAGAGACACAACCCAATTTCTACTCTGCTTTATGGATATAATGGATCTAGGTAGTCAAAACAAGCAGTGCAAAGGAGGTGGCGTTTGAATTGAGGTCTGTGGAGAAGGACTGGCAGATGATTTTCTTCTCTCTGAAATCAATCGGTCCATGTCCCCATGTACATTAATGTTTCCGTTGTTGCCAATAGTAATGCAAGGCAAGTTATTATGTAGGCACTTTGTAAACACAGTTGGAATCCATTCCACTAAACGACCTAGGCCCTATCTGCTTAACTTTATTCATGTCATCTCAAGCTCAGTGGGGATAGGAATTTCATCTGTTTTCACTCTCCAGCCCCAGTTCTTGGCTCCATGCCAAGCACTGAGTAACTATTTATTGAATGAATGAATGAACAGATAAATTATGTGAAAGGTTGAGTTTGGGGCAAGAGTGGGTTTCTTAGAAACAGGGCTAAAGTGATTGTTATAGGCTGTATTTTTTTAGGAGTGTTCTAAGACATGTATAAGTTGGGTTTGTTTCTTGAACTCAAAAGTTGTTTTTTAATAATTCTTCACCAAGTCATTGTATTTTAATGTCAGGGAGCGTCTTGGCTGGATGGCTGTGGGTCTTTTGCTGGAAATACATCATTCCTCATCTTACCTACCTGCATTGAAATATCATCTCTCTTACAAGCTGGTGTCCTCCTCAAAGACAAGTGACTTCATCTCTGTGCTAATAATTAGTATCTTCTTTGTGGGGTCCTTAAGAAGGTTCTAATACTAATTGGAAGGAGCTAATACTGTTAAACCGTTCAGTGCATTAAATGTTGTTACATAGTAAGTATGCAGTACATGCTCTGATTGTGGTTAATAGGAGCAATGTTCCATCCTCCTAGGGGGAGGCTCTGGGTCCAGTTCCACGAGCAGGGGTGAGATGAGCCTGGCTGAGGTTCAGTGCCACCTCGACAAGGAGGGTGCCTCCAATCTGGTCATTGACCTCATCATGAACGCATCCAGTGACCGAGTGTTTCATGAAAGCATTCTCTTGGCCATCGCCCTCCTGGAAGGAGGCAACACCACCATACAGGTAAGAAGGCAGCTTGCTGCTGTGTGACATCCCTACTGAGAGGGAAGAGAATCTGTTTTGAGAGCCAGGCACCTGGGTGGTACCAAGGCTCTTTCTATGATGGACGGCTCATTCCTAGAGCACAAAATTCTGTGCTTATGAGAAGCAAATTCTACTGGTATCTTCCTCGGTCTTTCAGTCATAATTCAGAATTGGTTTCAAGACATGAGTTACATTTGAAAGCTGATAAACTGCTGAGGATGTGCAAAGAAAATCGATCCAAGATCTGGGGCATGGTGGGAAGTCCATAAATGTTTGTGCAATGAGTGATTGAATGAAGTATACTTACAGTTTTTATCCCAGATCATAGACAGTCCCCCTCAGAGGATGACCAAAAAGGAGTTTGGGCTGTGTGTGCTGTTTAGATTTAATTTTTCTATCTATAGACACTGCAGTTACTGCTCGGTATCAATTTCTCTACCTTTCAAGTGAAAAGTTCGATAAAACCACTTGAACTAATAACACCAATTTGAACTAATAGGGAAGAGTCAGGCTAGATTAGTCAAAGATGCATAGATGATTTTTTTTGGTAGCCAGATAGGATATATATTTTAAAACAGTAATAAAAGCTTGAAAGAATTCTTGTCAGAAGTCCTTCATGAAGCAATTTTAGTGAATTTAAGAATATGTTTATAATTTTCATTTCAAAATGCCAATTGAATATATTTCTTTAAATATTTTCTCATCCTGTTCTTCATGCAATCTTCCCTCTTTGTCAGGTCTTGAATAAGGGTTTACTTAGCTGTCTGTGTGGGCACACCTACATTTCGATAAGCTTGATTGAGATGTAATTAACACATCATAAACTTCATTCACCCTGATGTGTATATTTGACTTGACATTAAATTCTCGGGCCCGAACTTAAATTCAGAATCTGGATGAATGGAGTCATGGATCTCAGTGTAGACGAGAAGAGGCTAGCTAGGTTCCTGTGGGTAGGTTTGCCCTGGGTCAGGTTACATTTCTCAGTGCTCCCTCTCCCAGGCGCCCTGCCCCTTACACGAGCTGCACAGCCGCCCGTGAGGGCCCTGCCTTCTCGCACTTCAATCCCAGCTGGCCCTCACACACACTTGTGAAGTTCATTGTTAGGCACTGCCCTCAGTGGAGACTTCTGCTGGTGGCAGAGTCCACTTCATGCCCGAGTCATCGCTTTGGCGCCAGAGCCATGACACATTGGGATGGCTGTTTGATTTTGTCACATGAGAGTCTGACCGTGAGCACGAATGGATCCTGTGGTCCTTCTCATCATTAAGATGTGGCCCACCCGCTACCGTGTCAGAACAGAAGCCATGCTCAGACATTCCATGTCTTTCAGCCACAGGATTTCCAGTGACTAGATCATTTGAACTAAACGTTTATCGAGCACCCTGTAGGTACACAGTGCTTTAGTAGGGACTATAAGGCCGTGGTTTCTAGAAAGAGGAGCCAGTTGGTCTCTGAGAATTTTCTCTAGGCATAGCCAAGTATGAAAAATGAAGGCAGTGTGGTGAGTTTTTCATAAATCACATGTATTCAGTTTGAAGGTCCATCTTGCCATTTTATTTCTGGTATTATGTCGTCTCCAGTGTCTTTGCTTTAATGAAAAGATTTTGATAGCAGATGACAATTTTTTTCTTCTTTGTTGATTAAAGAAGTGGGAAACAGTACATTATTCCTTCCACTTCCCAGTTTTCTTTTAAAGCTTTAGTAATTAGAGAAATCCTAGAATCCTAGAAGCCTGGTCTTCAAGAAATTGAAAAGTCCAGCAAGAATATAAGAATGTAAACACATGCACGTAGGAAGCTCTGTCTCAAGGTTAATGGTAATGCCATCCAAAAGGTAACAATGATAATGTGGAACCACCAAGAAAGAAGTAACATCGGTGTGAGGAGTCCATGGAAGGTTTTTTGATGAGATTGGTTTTGAATGATGGCTGTGGATCTGAAAGGTGGAAACTGGGTACGGATCTGCAGCATGGGGCGGCTGCATTGTGCTGCTTGGGAGAGAAGAGGAAGCCCAGGAAGTGCAAGAGTGGTAAGGGTGCTGGCAGAACAGGAATGGGGTGCCTCGGACTGAGCGGAGCCGGAGTAGGGCAGTGAATGGGGACTGGCAGCGGGAGAGTTTGTACACAATAGCAGGGCAGGCCTTCAAAGGGCTGTGGAGCTGCAATTTAGGGCTATAAATCTGGCAGTGTAGGACAGATGAGTTAAGGAAAGTAAGGTCCAGAAGGAGGCATCCCAGTAATTAAAAGCTAATTAGCAGTAATTTAGGGGAGAGCTAATGAGAACCTAAACTGAAAATAATTCTGTGATAAAATTGGCCATAATTTGGGAGAAGATATTTTCTAGGAGGGGCCCAGGGGAACTTTTGGGGGTGCTGGAGGTATTTATGGTTTCATGGGTACCTACCTGTTTCAAACTCAGTGACGCATACAGTAGAAATTGGTATACTTTATTGTATGTAAGTTATACCTCAGTAGAAAAGAAAAAATGAGGAGAAAAAGAGATACTGAACCTAGGGGTCCAAGAGGGTCAGGGACAGGCTATCATGAGTGCAGACTCTCTAACACTCCCTGCTTGAGGCTAGAGCCTACACCCGTTGATAGTTCATAAACATTGGCCAAAATGGCGCCTCAACGGATGTTGGAGATGAGAAGGTCAGAGGTCCCACTTGGCTCTTTGAGGCTTTAAAGAGTCTGGATGATGAGACGCGTGAAGGCACCATTAATTAAGGAATAATGAAGCATGGAAAGGACTCGCGGGGGCTGAGGACCGCCGGCGCTAAGGCTGGCTGGCAAGATGAAGTCTGAGGTTCTGGCAGGATGCCGTGTTTTTCACAGTGTACCCCTGATGGTGATGGCAAGGCACACAGAAGCTGTTTTTCCTTCAAGTTCTTTATCTTGTAAAGTAATTATGAATATTAGTTTCATGTTTTCACACATTTATTACTCATATGCTCAGGCACCAGATGAAATGCCACAATAGAGTTCCAGTAGTTCAGCCTCATAGGGAGTGGAGAGGTTTTTCTCTTAAGGCAGCCAGCGTGCCCTGAGTGGTGAGCCAGGGTGGGAGGACATAGCACTGAGGGCACGTGTGCTCGCTCTTTCTTTCTCCCTGTCTCTGGTCCCCCCTACCCCACACCCCTTCGGTGACCTCAGAGGGTGGAGGGGGGAATGTAGGCACTGCTTCAGTAGAGACCTGTGGTTCCAGGAAAATTCATTCTAGCCCAGAGTTGAATGGTGAGATCTCCCTTGGCCCCAAGCTTCTCTTTCTCTGGAGAAAATGACGGGAACTCAGCTTGTGTATGGAGCCAGTTAAGGACAGGAACCTTGAAGCCCAAGGGAGAGTGATGTAAAATTTCATCCTGCTTTAGAGAAGCTGGTCTGAAGTAGTGCATGACCAGCTGGGAAGTGAGTCTGAGTTGAGTTAAAGCTGCCTTTGTGACTATTAATGATTGCTGAAATGCTGTAATCCATTAAAGGCAGGGTCAGTTCCAGCCGGAACTCTGTGCCCATTATCACTTCCTGGTCAGATTGTCCTGTTATGGTCTTAGGAAGGGAAATTGGTCTCAGGTCAGGTGGGCTCCCATAGAGGATTGTTGCTTAGTGACAGGCGGTAGAAGGGGCGATCACAGAGAAGCATGAAGGGCTACAGGCTTCTAAAACCATGTTGCCTATCCAGGAAGAGGGCTACAGAAGGACCCTTCTGCTTATGAGTACCTCATCCTAGGATCTGGGACATGCTTTACATGAAGAAGGACAATGAGACTGACCTTCCAGTCTGGGTCTGTGTGGGATTAAGGAAGTTATTCCTGGGTTTTTGTTCCTGTTCTGTTGAGTGTGAGGCACAAGTATGGACCTCTGGGACCCTTGTCGGTATGAATCAGAACTTTCAAACAGTTACTGGATGTTTTCCCAGGAATTCCTAGGACCTGGTAGCGATGGTTGGCTGGTTCCATTTCTGAAGTTTCCCTTGGCTTGTGAAAATAATTATTAAAACTATGATGATTGGACAAACTCCAGGTGAGCCATACAATGGAATATCTCTCAGCAATAAAAAAGAGCAAAGTATTGATAAATACAGTGGCTTGGATGCAACTCAGAGGCATTATGCTGAGTAGAAGGAGCCAATCTCAAAAGGAGACATACTGTGTGCTTCTGATTATATGACATTCTCAAAAGGACAAGACTGTAGCCATGAAGGACATATCAGTGTTTGCCAGGATTAGGGATGAGGGGACAATTGGACTGTAACGGCCTAGCACAAGGGAGTTTTTTGTGTGATGACGCCATTGTTTGTCCTGCTTTTGGTGGTGGCCATAAGAGTCTATCCATCTGTGAAAAATCTGTGGAACTGTATACCCAAAAAAGTCAGTTTTACTGTATAACTATATAACAAAAGTAAAAACTTTTTGTAAAAAAGTTTTTAAAAGTTTTTTTTTAAAAAGTAAAAACATAATGATGACGATAATGGCCAATTAAGTGCTAACTGTGAGCCAGGAACTGTGCTCCAGTGTGTGTCTTGTATCATCTTATTTAATCCCCACACTCTCTAGAGGAGGCAGGTGCTGTAATTACTGCTTTTTACCAAGGAGGATACTAAAGTGAAAAATCACTAAGGAACTTGCCCCAGATCATATAGTCAATAGGTAGCCGAGCCAAGAGTGGAACCAGAGCAGCTTGGCTCTATGAACACCTCCTTGCCTGTGATGGCTTCATTCTGTGGGATGATGGTAATGACCAGAGGAAGAATAGTAGGTGCTTTATAAAGAAAGATGACTTGCTCCTTCCTACAAGGTCAGTCCTTGTTATCTTCAGAGACAGAGGTCTCGGTGGGCCAGGGATGGGTCCATGGCTGCGGAGCTCAGTAGAGCAGACAGCAGGTCTAGCATCCATTCTCCCTGGGCTCGGACACTTGCTGTTGATGAAGTCCTTCCACTCAGCTGTCTCATTTGAGTGTCCAGTTGTGCTAGGAGCTGTGCCA